CGGGGGATGTTTTGGACTCTGCAGGATGACTAACAGTTCAGTTTTGATTACTTGCATTACTCATTCTTTCTGGGTTTGGAGCTGAGAACGTGGCCAGAGTTTTCAGCCGTTCTTAAAGTTTAAAATCTGAACTCTCTCTGTGTCTCAGTGAGGACAGCTAATTAGGGGGCAAAGGTCAAACCTTAAAATAAGCCTCTGTGGCAGGATGAGGCCCGTCAGGACCAGTACTGAACCAAAGCCAGAGCTAACGACCCGGGGACACAGTGTGTGTGGACGGTGCCTTGCTCAGAGCAGCTGGTGGACTCGAACCTGAAGCTTTCCGGACCCGAGTCTCCTCCCTAACCACTAAGCCACCACTGCCCCTAAAAAAACAACTTCAGTGAAGTTACCAGGAGTGGGGTTCGAACCCACGAGGACTAACGTCCATTGGATCTTAAGTCCAACGCCTTAACCACTCGGCCATCCTGGTGGACTGGACGACACCAGGAGAAAACTGCAGAAAAAAAAACATCAACCAATCAGGACTCAGGCCTTCATGCAGTACCTGCATGGATCACTTTGGGGCCACAAACCTGATGTTAAGTCCCCTGATAGGATCTTAAGTCCAACTCTGTTGTTTTTCTCACGTCATCAACTGTGACATTTCTATTCACTGATTTTTTTTTCTTCTTCTTCTTCTTCTCTTCTTGGTAATCACACATTCAGCCAGTGTTTATATGAACCTTAATAACGACTACATCCAGCAGCTGGCGCCCTCCGTCCTCTTTGTACCGACCCGTGAGAACCCATCTGTCCCGTACGGCCGACGTGGAGAGACCCTCATCACATGATGCCTCTCTGCTGTTCCCAGTTACTCACAGCAACCAGTCTGTCACTCAGCCCTGACTGACACACCGGGGCTTTTATCTGGCTGTATGTGGGTTTCTGCCCCCGGTGGCAACACAAGGTCAAATAATGGCCTTCACATGGGTCACTTTGTTCAGGTGTGAAATGGCTTTTATTGACGGCTGTTTGTCTGTCGCCTTTTCAGAATTCAACTTTATGAATGAAAGAAAACCAAGCCCTTCAGTCAAAGTCTGAAAAAAAAAACTGTCACTTTTCAGAAGATACTTTATAATCAGTGCCAGACTTTGACAAAACGTCCAATTAAGTCTTAGAAAAAGATGTTGGTAATTTTTTTTAAAAAAAGGTAAAAGAGTGAAAGGAAGAAGTGACTTTTGTCACAAAGAGTAACAGTTCCTTTAACACCACCAATAAAAGAAGCCTCACTTCATCACAAGTCAGGCACCCCCCCCCACCCCTCAGG